TCGATATTTTTTCATTTTCATAAAATATATGTTTTTTTAACAATGATTTAATTATAAAATAATGTCTTAAATGGATTATAAGTACTAGAATAATCTATCAAGAACTTTTATCTAATTTTTCACTAACTGAGAAAGCCGATTTGTTATACTTAAATGAATATATATATATATATATATATATATAAATTGAACATATAGATATGGTTTTATTAGTTATATTGATGTGTATTATTAATTTAAATGAAATGAGTGTAATAGATTGGGTAGTAGACTATAAAAATGTATAATCATTAATAAAATTAGATTTTTACAACGTTATATCATCAAATTTATATATTTAATATGTACACCATTAAAAACTCGTACACATATGATATCGCAAGAATTAAAAAAATATAATATCATTTTTCATATAATAAAAATTGTACCCTTCCTCAAATAAAAAGCAAAGGCATAAATAAACATCCTTCAGAGAAAAGGAAATTATTTTGAAAAAATAACAAAACAACAATAGTCCTTTAGTATAAGTATAGACCATGAACTAGAAAAAACTCAAAAAGTAAAATCGGTAGTCATAGACTGGGGTCAATTAATTTTAGACCCTGAACAAGAAAAAAAAACAAAAAACAACAAAAAAAAAACAAAAAAACAAAAAAAAACAAAACTCCAAAAGTTGTGATCATGTGTCAAATTTTTAAAAAGTGCAGTCATTTATAAAAATCGGTCTCTTAAAGGGGTCATATTTATTGTTATCTTTCTTTCTTTTTTTCTTTTTTTTTAAAAAGCGTCTTTGAATGATTTTGTTTTTTTGTTTTGGTTGTCTGGTGTAAAATATTAAAACCATTATATTCCGTGATAAGTAAAGGGAACAAAAGATGAAAAGAGATCATACTATGTTTTCTTCCTTGTTCTTTTTTTCTTTTTTCTTTTTCAATGAAGAGGCTGAAACATTTCGACGCATCTCCATATTTTCAGCAAAATTGGTTGCCACGTTTTCGTTTTATCTAATGCGTAAAGGAAAACGACACCAGAAGAATTCGACATCTCGTTTTATTGGCCAAAGTTTGAATAGCATCTCTTGGTTTCATTTGTATTTAATGGTCGAATACGACATGTCGTTTTAATTATAAGAACGTCCTTACTCCTTAGTAAAAGAACACAGATTATTATTATTATTATTAGACGATAAACAAACATAGTTCATCATTGGCATGTATGTCTTTTACTTCAGATTCAGACAACACGGCTTTTTCCACGTATGTAATGGGTTCATACAAAACGACTATCGTTATATTATTTTGTTAAAAACAACATCGTTTTTATTAATATATTTATATATATATATATATATATATATATATTTGAAT